TGGTTGTTTGCTCAAAGCCAACTCCTCCATATTTTTCGTGGAGTCATCAATCCATCGGTCATCGTCTCATCGTTCGCTGTTCAGTGGAAGATAAAAAACTGTCAGAAGTATTATCGTGATTTATTGTTATAACATTTATTCTTAGAATTTGTGTGTAATAACCTTATTGTTGGTTACATATTGGCGTAAGAATAAAGGATTCTCGAGTCGCCAATCTGTGTTCTGGTTTCTTCGCGTTGGTTATTACAAATTGTTTCTGAAAGTCTTCCAGGCACAGCGTGAGGTTTAGCGTAGTAAGAGCTGGACATTGACAGTTTCTGAGTGTTGGCCGACAACATGTGTGATGAAAGGGAACTAAAATAAGGGCGACTATTGCAGAAGTGAGGCTTGTATTACATCCTTCTTGGAAATATCAGTGTCCCCAAACGCAGAAGATTTAGTACAACATGCACACTCCTGATTTCACTGTGAAGCATGCATGCTAAATGCATTAATTTAGAAGCCTACATATTTCACTGATTAACTCACAACAGTGACGTGGAAAAAAGTTATGTTTGTCTTTACTGAGCTAAATATTGCGAATCGTGTGAAGTAACTTTCTTATGCAGAAGAAAAGAGAAGGGCATTCATAATCTTTTGCTACATGTGGAATCGCGGTGCAACCCAATGCTCAATAGTATATATACGAATAAACGGAAAAATAAAGTCCTCCCTACCTTCTGAACAACTTGCCCTTATTCCATGATAGTAACTTTCACCTATGAGCCTAAGTTATGTGCATGAAATCTAAGTATTACATCAATTAAATCTTTCCCCCAAATCAAGGCCACTTGAAACCCCGAGCAACATAGCAACGGACATCATAGCGGGGATATGCAATAAAGCCACTCCTAACCGTCGTGTCCAGGGTTTGATGCGACGTTGAGTAATTTTTAATGGGTCTCGCTGTAATGCACGTACATTGTGGGTGCCAGGAATGTCAGCTTCATCTAAATAACAGGGATCTTTGTTAATGCTGATCAGAACTGAATTTGTAGCTCGGCTAATCCGTTTTCTTCAGTAGACAACACGCAACAGACTTTTTATAAATTCTTTTTGATAGCGCACCTGGAGACTGCTACATTTTTAGAAGTTGAGTCTGTTGACGTTCACACAAGATGTAATACCCACTAATTCTACAGTATTCGTCCCGCGTGGACCAAAGACAAAGCCGAACATCAAAAATGACCATCCAAAATACGAATTATATTTCGTGACCAAGTCGGAGTGCAAGATGATTGCTTAACTAGCTGTGTTTCGTGTACGAAGGAACGTAACATGACGGCGTGTCAACTGGTGTGGATGCTTGCCGGTAAGCCTTAAGCTAAACAAATCGACTTAAACAGTGAGGGTCGGCATCCAATGTTCAGTGATGAATGCTGTGGCTAAAAATTCCGTGGAACTACCTACCACTACACACATTTAATGTCAAATCTCACGACTAAGAATCTAGAGCAATGAAAGTAGTTTGGTTCAATCCCCAGATGAAGCGCCGTTTTCAAATGTATACGGTACAGATCTCCGGAAAGACACGTGCGGTTGTTACCTGAGTATTTTGTCGTTACGGTACAATTTTCTTACTGTTACTCACGGTGCTGTGTTTTGAAAACGTACCTGCATATTTTAGTTATTTTTGTACTGTGATACATCAGCGTAAGACTGCACCATTCCAATGGAAATGAGTTTTAGATTATAGGGATAAAAGGTTCTTGTTCCCTATGTTAATCCTTGCGATATATATATCTGCAGAGATCCAGTTTCTCTTTGAAAGCGTTCACCGGTGGAGCTGTTACTACTCCTTACCTGCAGGTAAGGAGTTCCAGTCGTTGACCACTCCGTGAGAGAATCTAAACTCCACACGTATCTTATTCGACCTCTGTTTGAGCACCCTCTTGTGGTGACCTCGTAAATTTATCCTGGAGGGAGAAAAAAGGTTTGAAAGGTCAATCCTGAAATCACCCTTGCGTATACGGTAAGACAAAATTAAGTCTCCTCCTTCACTATGATAATGGGAAAAGATTTAAATTTTCCATCGTCATTTCATAAGGAAGGTGTGAGATACCACTAAATAATTTCGTTCCTATCCTCTGTACTGTTTACAGGACATGTGCCTCCTTATTGGAGCGTGAACTCGCCGCGTGTATGCAGTACTCTAGATGAGGTCTGACATATAGAGTACTTGGAACATACTCTCGTCTAAACGTTTGAAAACCTTTCGAGGTGCTCATAGCATTCGAAAAGCCTTAACTGCGGCTCGATTACAATTTGGCGTCATTTTTAAATCATGGCTTACAATAATTCCTAAGTCCTTTTGCCCCATATAATCTGGCAGAGTTAAACTTTAAGCACCATTAAGGAGCAGTGGAAAATGACTTTGGATGCACCAACCACATGACAAAAGGTGAATGTTGCGTATATTCATGAAAATAATCCGTAAGAAGGCATTAAACTGTTACACAGATACCTTTCTCTGACGTTTAGCAGAGATGCCTCTTAGTTTTGTATTGGAGTATCAACAGAGTAATTTAACCACATTCAGTGTGTGTTTATCTAGTTTTAGCCATAAAATAACCTGGCCCTAACTTGAAAATATCCCTAAAATAACCCCATTTTAACTCGAACCAACCATAATGTCACCCTTATTAGGTGAACCTAGCCCTAGCATGCCCTCATCCTGAACCTTTACGTAATGCTCCCCTAACCCGCCAAATATCCCATTTAATAACATAGCACTTCACTAGTCACATATTATTCGTAATGACATTACTTGCCAGGTTTATCTAACTGTCTCAGCGATCGTTTCTGGATGATTAGCTGGTCGCATTCCACTGGTATTTACGGGTGCATCAAGTAGCGGCCGTCTGAATTTTTCGAAAGAGGAAATTGACAGACTGACCACAAAATTGAATAACCTTATTAGAAACGGAAACATAATGATTTCAGAGTTCTTAATAAAAAATTTGGGGGGGGGGTTGAGTTGTGCATTTCTCCCAAATTTTTCACTTGTGGTTACAAGCGTTAGTTTCGTGATCGAAAGACCCACAGTCCCAAGGAAACGTAGAACTCATGATAAATAAACTCTAGTAGTCTTCAGGCTCGAGCGACAGTACTGTGACAATATCTTCACTTAAAGGTTTTCACGGACTCCTAATCTAGCGGTAGTGGTTAAAGTAGTTATGTGGCGATCACTTCATTTATTTGGTAAGTTGAGTTGGCCTTAATGACGTGGAGGCAGATAAAACCTCAGCACAGCATTTACCAACTTGCGTCGTCTTTGATGGTGGAGTAATATCCGACAGTTCAACTGAGGGGCTTGCATATTCTGTGGCAGCTCGTTGCGTTCTGTTTAACAGCTGTGAAGTATGCAGCTCGAGCTACTAAGTTCGAAAATTGATAGGCTTTTGATCGATCGATTGACGCTTGCATTTGGTGCGGCAACATGGTAGGTAATAGTGTGGGTAGGCATATTGTCATCGGGGGAGGGGAAGTTAATCTTTGAGTTTGTGAAGATTCAGTGATCAACAAGTCTAGGACATACTACACGTGGCAAATCATTGCCTCGCTGGATGAACTATGTTAAGTAGAATTAGATTGTAAACGTCTGTAAGTAGTCAGATAGATCTGTGAGATTATTGACTGTTATTTCAACGGAGTGTAAAGGTGTAATCTACCTGGTGCCAGGACCTTGGGTTCTTAAAAATCTGTGGTTGGACACTTCACAAAATGGCTGGAAGATATTTTAGCCTTTTGTCATCCAAACTCTGTTAACGTTCACTACTTCTGACTTATTTCTTCTCTAGTAAATTTTCGTCCACTGTAGTTTCTTTCGCATGCTGATACAAAAAATTGATTTTAGACTTCTGGTTACATTTCTCAAAACTCTACGTCGAGTAAATTCTTCTCTAGCGTCCATTTAATAATAAGAAAATCCACAGTTTCTTTGTTCAGCGAAGAAATTTCTCTTCAACGACTCTATTTTTAAGCTGTACAGTCAGTCGTATTTATATTACAGAAAAAGTTATTAAGTGCCACTTAATAATTGCTCAGTCAATATACATGTGTATGTGATAAGAATAACGATAATTAAAATGTTATAAGCGGCGGAGTTCAAGTGGATGAATTACAAAATTATTAAAGATGGTTTTATAAGTGAATTGATACCGAAAATATTTTTTTTTAATTGTCAAGTGTTGTCTAAAAATCTTTAAAATTAGGAGTACGATTACGATAAGAATAAAGATGTGAAGTGAATTGGAATGAATTCAAGTGGTAAAAAATAAGATAAAAATAAAACTAGAAAAAACGTTGCTATGACAAAGGTAAAGAAAGGGGTTTGACAAAACGTTTTCGAACACATAATTTAGGTTTCAGTTCATGCATAGCTAAAGCATCGGCTACGCATAAGTGAAGAAAACGTAAACTTTTGGAGTTATTCGATTTTGCCACGTAGATAACCTTGAAGGATGAATCACGTGAGACTGAATGACCAAACCCTAACAGGTGATCACAAATGAATGAGTTGTTATCTTTCGTCATTCATTTTATAACTCTCTCACACATGTTTAATTACATATCTGTACTTTACCGAAGTTAGGCAACTTTACACACATCTGCACAAAGTCTCCCGTTGCTTCATCAGTCAGTCTCAACTACATCACATTTGACAGAATGTAATTTCTCGATACTTTACTAGATGTGCTCTATGTGCACATTTCGATGAATTTCCATCGATGTCATAAAGCAAGTTATCGGCCACCTACTATTTAACATGGCCTATATTAAGTTCCCATTATAATGCCCTACGATTAAGTATATCTTAACCAGTGTTAACGAGAATCAAATTTATTAAATGTGCAATTTGTTGTGATATTTTCAGACCGTCAATGATCCAGATCACTGTTTTGTATACATAAGTATCTGTGGAGTTTCGCAACTGCAAGCTTCTTTAAATCTTTATCCAAATGGATCTTGTTTACAAGCTGAACAAAAGCTGTGGGACATCCTCTATTTCACGAAAGATTCTCCAACCACTGACGTATTCCTTCATGGGATTAATTTCAAAATTTGCCCTATTTCGTCATTGTTTAAATGTTATTGGTTCTGAACGTTTGTTCCTGGCAATCGATAAACGACCAACTAGTCATCCTCTGATTACTGTCAGCAATCATCATTCATGTCTTGATGATTTCTTCCTAAATGGCTCTTTGATACCATTAAAATACTTTGCTAATGGTATGTGGCATCCCAGTATTCAAATAATTTGGTGAAATTTAGTCGCAGTATGTCGTTGGTGCTTGACAGCTGTAGATATATGTTTCACATCATGGTGGCATAATCAATTTTTCTTCTGGTTCAAAGGAGTTCCTGTATGGCGAAGAGTTCGTGATCCGTTATCTGGTAAGATAACACATTTCGGTGGTGGGATATATCAGCCTAGTATGGATTTCTGTATAGATTTATTGAATTCTGGTCAATGGATTCATGTATTTCCTCAGGTTTGTGTAAACTGAATTTTGTGTTTTCAGTGCATTACTTCTGTTATAAAGTGTCCCTGTTGATTCATACCAGTGGTTTCAATAGTAATCTGTTTCGGTATGCGATTCCTCAGTCCATATAGTTCATGTTATGTTGTTGTTTTTACTTTCATGCTCAAACCCGACCGATAGCTGCTATCTTGACGTGGTGGTCGAGCTTACACATCGCGATGACGTAACAAGCTGCACTGGCTGGAACCAATATTCCTGCAGGTCCTACCGTGCCGGGAAGGTTGTTAGGATAGCGATTAGACTAAATGCAGTTACCGGCATTGTGTAAGAATCTTCCTTACACTATGCTGGGGATCTGAGGGCGAAGTCGTACTGCTGGGGAATAAGGGTGTAACAGCAGTGAGGTGTTTCCCTCAGATGACCAGCACGCCAGCCAGCTATGCTGTCTCTCCACTCTGGAGAGAGAGGGTTAGAAAAGGTCGACCCCAAAAATTGTACATCCTGACTTACCCTACGGTGGTGGTCCATAACCGGCGGTAAGTTTACTAATACGGAATCAAACCAAGAAACCAGTTCATACAGGCCGTGTATTACCGGCCTCAAGCAGTTGTCCTCTGGGCTCTTCGGTCACGCAACACTAACCCTGTCTCTGTTTCAGGTACCCGAATAACCCATCAACTTCCACGGTGTGGGCAGCCGGGAAGTAACAACCGCCCACACACTTCCAAAAGCACACGAAGCCTTCCTGAGCATCTTTCTCCTTTACTCATTCATGCTCAAACAGACGGTAAGGATATGTTATATTGTCAGAAAAACTTGACAGTTGTGGTCAGTTTTTCCACCTCTAGTGAAACTGAGTGGATGGTCAGAGCAAAACTCGATACCAAACTTTGAAGTTATTGACCGTCAGTCTGAGTTACGTAAAATGGTGTGGTCTGCCTATCTGGAGGCCCTGGTTTATAGTGGCGCAGATGTATTTACTTATGGTCATTACTCAAATCCTCTCATTGTTCATTAGCCTCCACCTAATTATTCTCTCTCCCGTACATCTCCACCAATTGTTGTATTCTCGTTGTTTTTCTCCCTACTTGTTTGCTTTTGTGAAGTATGACAAAATAAAACTCCTGCACTTTTAGTACAGAAGTCTACGTTGTTATATCAGGAGCTTAGTGACGCATTTCCTCGGAAGTACCAAATGAAATCGCGTCGCCCTTTATGAAAAAGCATTTGTTAATTAAGTTAGGTAAAAAGTGTTCCACGTCATTCTTGTGATCTATGCTTTGGGTTACTAAACAAAGGTTCACGTTGGTTTCAAGGTTTAGATTTCGTCGTTGATATCCTCTCATTTGTGGTAGTCATTCGTCTCATGGCAACTGTTAGCATATCTCTAAGACTTAGAAAGAGAAATTCATAAGGCGTGAATCATAATGCAAAAAAAACACCATTGACCGTAAAAGGTTTTCTAATTTAGTACTCATTTATTAGACTGACTTGTCCTTCTATAACCAAGCTTTAATTGTTGTGTAGTTTTGTATTAGTTCTGATTAGGTGTAATGGCGATATTGAACCAAATCATCTAAAACAATAATTATTTGGGCATTCGAAACTTTTAGTATTTTTATACTACTTTGAAGGTCAGTTAAACATTTTAAAAGGCTACGTGGTAACAGAAATTATTTTCTATTGAAAGAGCACAACTGCTTGTCATCAGCCTGGAGCTGAAGACCCTTATTCTCAATCTACATGCAACACCTCGTCTTTTTTCAGGAAAAATACATAAAACGCAGAAAATCATCAGACCGTAGACTTTTTATCTTTTTCTACTATTCTCATCCACACTCCTGACTGGATGGACCACACTGGTGGCAACTCACTAGAACTCCATGCATCTTCTTCCTGTAGCAAGCATCAGATTATTTTCAAGAAGTAGTTTGTAGGGGGTTCTATTTGCTTAGGGTTAGACCACGGTTTGATATCAGTTAGAAAACCATTGAAAACGAGGGAGTACTAGACAGCTGTTTCATCTTAGTTTGGGAGTCATCGGCAGTACTTACCCACTGGGTCTCGAACCCGGGACCTTCAGGTTTGAAGGCAATTTAGTAAGGATTGATTCGTGAAGGCGTCGGTGGCACATTGGTTAGGACTCTCGCCGACCATGCACATGGTCTGAGGTTCGATCCCCTACCGACGCACACCTGATATCTATGGTTGGCCTGCAAAATTTGGGCTACCGATATCCATGCTAAAAATTTCATACTTGTACCAAAAATACAGTGTGGAATCAAGCTGTAATCAAAAGAGTAGAGTGAATTCGTCTTCTTTAGTGTAGACAGTTTTGAGTTGTTTTATAAAGAGTTTTCTATCATTGTTTCTTGGCATCTTCGGGACCTCAGTCAGACAATGTACATCTAACTGCATGACTCAGAGTATCAGTTAAACAATAAAACAACTAGTTCCTTATCTTGGTGTGACTATTACCTACGTTTCTAACATAATTCTACTCCAACCGATATTACTTCTCAAAGAACACCGTCTTATCATCCGCAACACATAACCATCATAATCAACGAAGTCCAACAATTATCACACTTTTTTCTGGCCTGACACTACATTTAATCTCAAAATTACTTTTCGGCTTTTATCTTAGTGAACCAATTAAATGAAGACGATTGTGGTCATAAGCCTGTAATCTTTTTTCATAAGTTTGTCTTATGGGCGTAAGTAATGCAGAGTGGTGAATGTTTCTTTGAATATGTTTTATGAAAGTGCTAACTTGTTGCATATCTTGGTACCCATGCTGTATCAGGTATTTGTATAGACAAATCAGAATTATAACAATAACTAAAATTACAAACCAGAATTCGAACACATTAGTGTAATTTTTGAAGTTGCTTGTCTGAAACTCAGTTATGAATCAGCTTCATATGAATAGATTTGAGAATGATTACAGGTCAAACTGTAGTCAACTCGTAAGCATCATCTAATCACCTTTAACCAACTTGAGAGTTTAGAGACTAAAGTAGTTAATTATAGGCTAAGTAGGCAAATCGAATAAAATAAAAACCTTACGTAATATTGTGTGAAATTTGATAACATAGAATTTAACATTGCAGAACAGAATTGATTTAGAGTGACAAGTGAAATAATACTGGGGACAGTTCAGAGTGAGAATAGTAATAATAACTAACAATTGATGCAATGAAGGAAGAATATACGAATTGAATTGGTCGAAAAGGAAACCTTGTCCTGTCGCTTGCCGCTTGCATTTGGCGCATATGTAGCCCTAATACTGTGGAGGATGAGTTAAATCTTTTGAGGAAAATCCTAATAGAAAATAGATTTCCACCATGTTTTATAGACAAAAATATACATTCAAATCCTATGAGACATGACTCACCCTCCGCGCCCAAGAAAATACTGTACTTGTGCTTGGGATTCAAAGGTGACTTAGCTTCTGATATCATGAAAAGAAGGATATTACAGTCCCTGAAAAGGACATTCCCTTCTGCATCTTTGAGAATAGCCTTTACCAGTCGTCCATTACTGTTCAATAACCTGAAGTACTAGATTCCGCTGCTGACCAACTCTGTGTGCGTTTATCAATTCACCTGCTCGTATGGAGCTAGGTATATCGGTCGTTCGACTCGAGTTTTGTCCAAGAGGTTGCAAGAACACCAGCCATCGTGGTTACGAATAGGTGGAAATGGAGCAATAAGCGCGATCATTGAACATCTGGTTGATAATGATCACTCTATCTCTATAGCATCCGCCTTTAAAATCATTTACAATGGCAAAAGTAATTTATCGAAATCACTATGTACCCGACACATCTGTATTGCTGAAGCTTTGGCTATGGAAATAAAAAAGGCAAATCTCTGTGTACAGAGAAAGTTCGCTCAATCCCTCCAACTTTCATGGTATTAATCGCTCTATGTTAAAGTGCGGTAATCCCCAATCATATTTTGGCTCAACCACGTTTTTTCATTTCGTCTATTCAATTTGTATACTCTTCCTTAATTACATTAATTGTTAGTTACTATTACTGTTCTCACTTTGAACTGTCCCCGGTATTATTTCACTTGTTCCACTTGTCATTCTAAATCAATTCTGTTCTGCAGCGTTGAATTCTATGTTATCAAATTTCACATAAAATAGTTACAGCAAGACAACCTCATTCATCGATCATGTAGGTATTGTTGGGGGGAATGAATGCTTATTGTGAAAGTCAAGTCTTTTTTTTTTAAAGAAAGCTAGTATGTACTGGTATAAAACACTATTATTATTATCATTATTTTTATTTTTAGGGTAGAATTGTTCAACCACATGAACGTAATTCAGAACAAAATATCCGGCTACGTTGGGGAATAGGACGATTAGTAGCAGAATCAAAAGAAGTAAGCTTTTGTAAATATCTGTCTGTTTTCGACATAGAACTTTGCACCGATGTACGGCAGTTCAAGTCGCCACACTTCACTCCTAGTAGCACACAAAGCAAGAGAAGAAAGAAGAAATCCATAATAGAGACAGTAAACAGAGGTGTGAGACAAAGGAATAGTAATAAAGACGAACAATATAGTTTCATTGAAAATCATAAGTCACAAGGAGTGGATGCATCTGCGCCAGCCATTGAGAACGATTTTGAGCCATATCACCAATTGTTTCCAACCATTGGTTTTTTGCCGTCCCGAGGACCCCAACCAGGAAGTCTACACCTTCCTACGTGACTGGCTAAAACTAACTGTTTTAGATTTCATTAACTGATGAGGTCATGTTTTGATTCGATCACCACTAGCTCTTTTCCAGCCTGACCCTATGTCAGCTAACATCACCTGTAAGTCGAGGAAGGCGATGACTAGAGACATACGCAACACATGTCCTAACCACCTCAGTCGATGTAATTTCGCAGCCTCATCGATTGATTTCCCCTGCTTACCTAGCACTCGACGCCTAACCACAATATTGCTCACCTTATTATACCACTTCACACGGGACATATATAATCAAAGACAGCTAATCTTTTCATGTCTTCCACTCTCAATGGCCAGGTTTCACAACCATAGAAGAGGACGGAGCGGACTGCTGAGCAGTACATCCACTCTTTGGTTGATAGCCGGATATCACGTCTACGCGAAACGAGCCCCCTGTATCCGTGCTGAGATTTCGTCAGAGATAAACCCGTTGGGGCTGATGGCACTTCCCAAATAAATGAAGCGGTCAACGTGCTCTACCACTTCACTCCCTATTTCTAAACTAGGAGTCAGTGTAGTCCAGTCCCTTAACATCATCTTACATTTGGCGGGAGCTAGTCACATGCCAAACATTTGTAGATTGCAGCTTAAGGTGTTTAGAAGACTGTCTGTCTGTCTGTCTGTTTTCGACATAGAACTTTGCACAAATGTGCGGAAGTTCAAGTCGCCACATTCCGTGTAGCACGCGAAGCAAGAGAAGAAAGTACAAGAAAAGCATAATAGAAACAGTGAGCAGAGGTGTGAGACAAAGGAGTAATAAAGAAATACAAAACAGTTTCATTGAAGATCATAAGTCACAGGGAGTGGATGCATCTGCGCCACTGAGAACGATTTTGAGCCATGTCACCAATTGTTTCCAACCATAGATTTTTACCGTCCCGAGGACCCCAGCCTGGAAGTCTACACCTTCCTACGTGGCTTAGACCAACTGTTGTGGATTTCATTGACTGATGCCAAGTTTTTGTTTGACCGCCGCTAGCTTTTTTCCAGCCTGACCCTATATCCGCTAACATTGCTCGTCGAGGGAGGCGATGGCTTGGCATACGTAACACATGTCCTAACCATCTCAGTCTTTGTAGCTTCACGACTTCGTCGATTGATTTCCCCTGTTTACCTAGAACTCTACGCCTAACCTCCATGTTGCTCACCTTATTATGCCACTTTACACGGGAAATAGAACGCAGGCACCTATGATCAAAGACAGCTAGTCTTTTCATGTCTTCCACTCTCAGTGGCCAGGTCTCACAACCATAAAGGAGGACGGAGCGGACTGATGAGCAGTACACCCGCCCTTTGGTCGATAGTCGAACATCTCGTCTACGCCAGAGTCGGCGTAAACTAACAAATGCGAAACGAGCCCCTTGTATTCGTGCTGAGATTTCGTCAGAGATCAGCCCGTTGGGGCTGATGGTACTTCCCAAATAAGTGAAGCGGTCAACGTGCTCTACCACTTCACTTCCTATTTTTAAACTAGGCGTCGATGTAGTCCAGTCCTGTAACATCATCTTGCATTTGGCGGGAGCGAATCGCATGCCAAACATTCGTAGATTGCGGCTCAAGGTGTTTAGAAGACTCTGCATTTCGTCAGCGTCTTCGCCTAGAAGGACTATATCGTCTGCATATTCCAAGTCAACGAGATTATTCCCGGTAGCAAGTCAATCCCTGAGTCGCTGAAGTCACCTAGGGTTAAGTCCATTAACACATCTATGATGAAGTTGAATAGAAAAGGAGATAATGGGCATCCTTGACGGACACCACTGGTCGTCATCAGTTCAGATGACAGCTCGCCGTAAGCCCTCACCTGGCTGTATGAGTACGAGTAGAGTGCCTTAATCAGTGCAATATATTTTCTTGGAATTCCCTTTACAGCCAAGCATCTCCAGAGAACTTCCCGATCGACAGAGTCGAATGCTGCCTTTAGGTCAAGAAATATAATGACTGTTGGACGCCGGTAGGAATGCCTATGTTCTAGAATCTGTCGGAGGGTGAAGATATGATCAATACACCCTCTTCCTGGTCTAAAGCCTGCCTGGCTCTCTCGTGTTTGTGCTTCCCGAGCACCACTCAGTCTACGCATGATTATTGAGCCTAAGACTTTAGATACTATATTAGTCAAGCTAATCCCTCTGTGATTATCACAGGAAGACTTGTCTCCCTTCTTGTATATGGGGATAATCAGTGACTTACACCAACCCGATGGGACTTCTTCTGATTCCCAGACGCTGCCTAGTACCTCAGTTAATCCGGACAGTAAGCTGTCTCCACCGTACTTAAATACCTCTGGAGTCATTCCATCAGGTCCCGCTGCTTTGCCTAGTTTCAGATTGGTGACAGCTTTAGTAACCTCAGTTAGTGACGGAGGACCTGTGTCTATATCCCATTCAGGGAGGTGTTGGATGCTCGGAAGGTTGAGCGTGGCTGTGGGCAAATTAAACTGCTCCTCATAATGCTCTTTCCAACGATCCAGTCGTCTATCCTGGAGCTAATTATAGTGCCATTTTTTTCCGAGATTGTCTCACTAATGATTTGTCTTCTCCCACCCGTTTCCCTGATGAGTCCAAAGAGTTGCCTGGTGTTGCCTATCCTCGAAGCTTTCTCCATCTCTTTGGCTTTTGTCGCCCACCACTGTTCACGGTCCTTGCGGAGACTTTTCGTAAGTTTCCTCTTGTGCAGCTTTCGCTCCTCATTGAATTCGGAGCTCGCCGGAATAAGTCTTCTAGCATCTATCAGTTCGGATGAGGCGGTGGAGATCCAGTGGTTTTTACTCACCTTTGGGTTTACCTTATTCACAGCTTTTACAGCTGTATCTATGGCTGCCTGGATATTTTTCCAAGCTTCTTCAGGGTGAGCACAGCTGTCGAACACAGATATGTGTTTAGCTAGTTCTTCCTCAAATACGGATTTAGTTTCCTGATCGAGCTGGGGACGTGATGGTTTTACCGCCAGCTGTTTCCTACGTCCGTTCAGTCGTAAGCACACCCGAGCGCGGACCAGTGCATGGTCGGTATCTACGCACGTGTTCCAGAAGGAGCGACAATCTCCTACCGACCCACGCCAACGATAGCTTATTGCTATGTGGTCTATTTGTGTCCAGCGTTGGTTTGATGAAGGGGGTCTCCAAGTCAAACAGTGTCTCTCCTTGTGTTTAAGTTAGTGCTTACAAGAAACAAATGATTATCAGAGCAGAACTGTAGGAGACGGTCACCGTTGTCGGTTCGCTGGCACGGAACTCCATAGGTGCCACCGACATCCTTCTCAGATTGACACAATTTCCCTACTTGAGCGTTAAAGTCACCAGCTAGAACGACTATGTCTGAGCGTTTAGCCTTTCCACCAAACTAGACAGCTTTTGGTAGAACTCATCCTTCGTTTCATCTGAACTGCAGTCAGTGGGGGCGTAGGCGGAGATTACGAAAAGGCATCGGCGAGTAGTGCAGTCCTTCCTCCTTCTTACTGATCCGTTCAGGCGGACAGCACACATTCGGCTATCTACCGGGATCCAGTCAAGCAATGTCTTTTCTGCCCTAGTACTCAAAGCTATCCCTACGCCAGCTAATCCTCGTGAACTAGCTGTGGCATCTCCTGACACCCTCAAGGTGAATTTTGCAGATTCAACCTGTTGGCCAGGTGGGGTTAGGTGAATAACCACACTTGGGTCTTGTATGCGTGTTTCTGAAACACAGCATACATCAATGGCTCGTGATGCCAGGGTCTTGGCTAGTGATGCTTGTTGTCCTATTTGGCAAAGTGTCCTAACATTAAGAGCTCCTATATGAAATTGGTGGCGCGGCTTTAAGAGGCTGTCGGTGGTGGTTTTTTGGCTTCCATCGTTTTTAGTGGACGCAGAGTGGAGAGGAAGTGGAGAGCTATCAAGTCGAGGAGTTGCATCAGTGGAAGGAAGGCAAGATGATAGAGATGAAGATGAAGACAAAGATGAGTGAGTAATAGAGAGGTTTCGTGTGCATTTCGGATTGTGAGGGCGATTGTTACTTCCCGGCTGCCCACACCGTGGAAGTTGGTTGCGTGACCGCAGAGCCCAGGGGACAACTGCTTGAGGCCGGTCACACGCGGCCTGTTTTTGTTCGTTCTTTTTTGTTTGGTGTGTCTCAGTAGCAGATTTATCACTCCCGCCCTGTGACACGGCAGCAGGAAGCGCGGTCGTTGTTAATCCGGGCCACGGCCGATCCGGCATGAAATTTTGTGATTTTGTATTGGACATGATGTTGGATTGGGTAGCTGCTTTTTGTTTAACCGCTATCCAAACAACCTGCCTGGCATGGTAGAACCTCAAGAGACATAAGTCTCAGCCAGTATAGCTTGATTAGGTCATTGCGGTGTTCAAGCCCGACCACCACGTCAAGGTAGCAGCTTTCGGTCGGGAAGAAGACTGCATTTTGTCAGCGTCCTCGCCTAGAAGGACTATATAATCTGCATATTCTAAGTCAACGAGATTATTCCCTGGTAAAAGCAAGTCAATCCCTGAGTCGCTGAAGTCACTTAGGGTTAAGTCCATTAGAACATTTATGATGAAACTGAACAGAAATGGGGATAGTGGGCATCCTTGACGGACACCACTAGTCGCCACCACTTCAGATGACAACTCCCCGTAAGCCCTAACCTGGCTGCATGAGTACGAGTAGAGTGCCTTAATCAGTGCAATGTATTTTCTCGGCATTCCCTTTACAGCCAAGCATCGCCAGAGAACCTCTCGGTCGATAGAATCGAATTCCGCCTTTAGGTCAAGAAATAAAATGATTGTTGGACGCCGGTAAGAATGCCTATGTTCTAGAATCTGTCTAAGGGTGAAGATATGGTCATTAACCCTCTTCCTGGTCTAAAGCTTGCCTGGCTGTCGTGTTTGTGCCTCCCTAGCACCACTTAGTCTACGCAATATTATTGAGCCTCGGACTTTAGGTACTACATCAGTCAAGCTAATCCCTCTGTGATTATCACAGGAAGACTTGATAATCCTTACACGTGTATAAATCTGTTTCTAGATGGCAACCAATGTACCTGTGTAACCCTTGATTTCACTTGGAAGTTAACAGGTAGCTATCTAGAATAGATCCTTCATGGGCATGCAGGGCTGTAACTATTCTTCAGCTGCTTCAACTTTAAAAAGTGAACTGTTTAAAAGTTAACTAACAACATTGTCTTTTATTTGCACATTCTTTTTTTTCAGGATCCTATTATAATTCCAATATGGCATTGCGGTTTAGATGAACTTAATCCATCTGAAGTACCAAATACTGCTGTTACTCTAAGACGTATATTCGGCAAATCGCGCCGTGTAACTATTGGTATCGGTGAACCGATTAATGTGTGTAATTTACGTCAACAACTAAGGCATAATCTTCGTCAATATGAAACATCCTCAGAATTTCGTTCTAGCATACACAGTACATTTACTCAAGTTGTTCAAAATCAACTGTATAAACTCAAAGAAGAAATGGAATATGAACATCGAAAATTTTCTTCAACGTCATAGCTATATGTATATATCTATATATTTTGTAGTACATATTTTATTTTTTACAAATAGTTTCTTTATTTTGTACTTTTATTTACCTAATTTTCTGTAGCAATTATTGAGCTCATAAATTGATTACTCAGGAATGATCACACTTTTTTTCATTGTTAGTGAAAACTTTCTGGTTACCGACCGATAAGTACAGTAAAACAAGATATTGATTGGCATTGAGTTATACCTTATATTGCGATGACTAGTAGAGTATTAATGATATAAGTATAAAACTTGGGCACTGTGGTAGAGTATAACTCCATTATGGATAAATTTTTTGTTTGATAAAATCACAGTGGTTAGGACTCTCGCCGACCATGCACATGGTCCGGGGTTCGAGCCCTCGCTGACGCACACCTGATATCTATGGTCGGCCTGCAAAATTTGGGCTACCGATATCCATGCTGAAAATTCCATACTTGTACCAAAAATACTGTGTGGAATCAAGCTGTAATCAAAAATAAAAAAAAAATGTTATACAGTAATATTTATTGATGGCGCTTTGACCACAAATTATTACTGCTCATAATAATATCAAGGCACTACTCACACAACTTTCTTGTTTCACTTATATGCACGAGTAAAAATTGATGATTAGACATTTGAATAAAAATTAACATAAGATAAAGTACATTCAGAAATATTATGAATGTTATCAATAAGATGGGAAATAAGATGTTTTTATGGTAAAAATAAATAACTTGTTAGAATGTGAATTGAATACATTTTAGCATTATTTATTCTCCTTTGATTTGACTGGTGGTAATAATATCTTCCATATCTCTGGTAATTGCGTTGAGTCACTTAACTCACAATTATTGCAAGGCATTTTGTAAATTATATTATTTTGTATAATTGGGTCAACCGACAGGGTCGTCTAGCCTACACAACTTGTCCTCCCTGTCTGAGTGAGTTTGCAGGTTTGAATGCCATCCTAATTCCTGCTTTATTGAGCATCCTACATAGGGTCTCAGATGTCCCCTCCTTATGTGATAAGACTGCTGTAGATTTATATTCTTTCTTGTCTATGTTATCATTATTAGTTTCACCATTATTTTTATTTTGCTTCTGACCTTTTTTGATCTTCCTAATGAGTCTTATAGGGTAGTTATTGAATACTAACGCTTTTTCTATCTGTTTTATTTCGTCATTTAGGTTTTTTCGTGCACTAGTTAGTGCTACTGCTCGGTTTGTTAAACACTTAACTAAGCTAGCCTTTACAGACAACGACATATGAGATGAATTAAAGTCTAAATATCTGTTAGCAGAAGGCGTTGGCTTTTTATAAACGCTAGTGTGCAGTTTACCTTCTTCTATTCGTTTTATTTGACAATCTAACATGGCTAATTCTCCTTGTTCATTTTCCGACTTAAGTGCAAATTTTATTCCCTCTACTAGTCAGTGAGTTTATATGTGTCAAGAAGCTAGAGATATGTTCTGTTTTTTAAAACTGTGTAAGTCCCATTCACATATCTCGGCCATATTTTTCCAGTAGGATTAAATGTATTTAGAACAGTATTTCCCCAGCTGTAGAGTAGTGGTACTATCTAACTGCCCAATCTTTGGGGAGTAATTGTAGAGAGAGAGGTTCTAATCCATGACCTACTTGCCGGCTCATAGACCAGTGAGCAGCCATTGCTTCACCCCACCCCCTTAGTAAGCCTAGTGTTTTATCTTACCATCATCATATCATTCTTTTCCTTGCGGAATTTGTCCTCCGTGTTTTTCTTTTTTGACAAACTGAAATCACAGTTAAGTATATTAGCCTTAGAGTCATAAATGTCTTCAAAAACAGTTGTCGCTTGAGTTTAATTAATTAAATTAAAAGCTTTGTTACCCTCCACCATGATAGTTTGTATTATTTAAAGGGTTTCCTTTTAATATCATTGATATTTTCCAATGCTTGAGTGTGTTCATAATTCTTCTTATTTCTGCCAATGGCAACACGGCTCTCTCTCTCTCTGTGTGTGTGTGTGTTAATGTGTACATGCATGAATGTTATATCACTTCGTAATTACCCTTTACATTTTATCGATAAGACACCTGTTGAACTTAGGAGTTATATCTGGTTTTGTAATGTATATTAATATTCCGATTTGATGTCATCATCATCATCCATTGTGTATGTGGAGTATTCAACCTAACTTATAGTTATTGAATTGAATTTTGATTTTCCCGTCGATTGATTGGACCGAAGTGCTCAGTCTCAGGTTGACATGTCGCATCCTGGATTCCACTGCTAGCCACCATCCACCAATTGTATACTGATTTATAGTTCTACAGAAGTTTTTCTAAGTTGAACAGTTGCTGCTGTTTATCATTTTTTCTCTCATAATAACCGCCAACTTTTTTGTTTTTCTGAGATGTAAAATGTAATCCCAAAGCATTCCTAGTTTATTACTATAATTTGACAGTTGTACTTCTTTTTTTACTGTACACATGCATTTTAATGGATGTAAATATATATTTTTTTTGAGTGCCGAAATAATTAAATTTTGTACCCACAGTTTGTTATATTATTCTTGTCATCACATAAGAATTAAAGAAATTTATTCGTTTTCTGCTCATATTGTTGCTTAATGAGTTCGAATCATTATGTTTATCACTAAATGTGTTTGCAAACCGAGATATGAGAATTAATCTAACTTTTACAAGTGAGTTATTAGAGAATAAAGTTGCTTAAGGTTCTAGTGGGAAACCGTGACCTGCAAGTTTCATCTGCTTCTGTAGGTATAAGGACAAATACTTACTGATGAAATTGGTTGGCGGTCGTAGTATATATCGCAAATAGGCAGAAGCCTAGAATTGATGGGCTATTGGATTGTGTCTCAGTGACTGAATGGTAAGCGAGTTTGAACTGTGACCTGAAGATTTCCGGTTCAACACCTAGTGGAATCATAGGTGAGTACTACTGAGAACATATTAGTTTGTTTATTAGATGTATCCCACAATGAAACAGTATTATTTACTGGATGACGTTTCGAACAAAATTTATTGTTCATAATCATATCAATTGTGATCACACGACTTTGAAATTTGAGTTTTATAGTTTTCTTTGTCTTCTCCTATTTGCCGTAATGGTAGTAGAATTTTCCATATATCTGGGACAGGTGTTGAATCATTTCTGTTACATGTATTTGCAGTTGATTCGATAAACAAAGCTTCTGTTATCAATCTCTCCCTATACCCTGTGACATTAGATTTTAAAACTGTCATCCTATCCCATCCTATTGTATGGTTGTGTGTGATTGCATGTAGTTCTATGGCTGAACTATTCTCTAGATTTCTTATCTTATCTTTGGGATCAACCAGTCTAGATTTAGCTAGGTTTTTATGTTCGGCTAGTCTGACTGACTGCCCCTGTTCTACTACTTTGACCTGACACTCATCTCAGGTAGGGTATTAGATAAATTAAATTGTTTTGTTTTAAAGGCTCCACAGGAAAGGCTCCTTTAACCGACAAAGCTTGTTTCTAATTGAGTTTGTGGGTGGTTTGAATGCCAGCCACTTTTATTCCTGCCTTGTTAAGAATTCTGCGAAAGGTAGTTTTCGAGGTTCTCTCCTTGTATGGAATTACTACTGATGATTTAGATTCCTTATTGTTGGTGTTGTCTTGCGCATATTTGGCATGCATGTCGTTATTAACATTAGTATTATTATCACTATCACTTCTAACATTATTTATTTTATTTCTACATTTCCCTACATATTTCCTGACTAATTTATCAGGGTAATTATTAAGTTTCAAGGCTTATCTTATATGTCTCACTTCCTGTATTAGATTTGATACTACTTATTTTTTGTGCTCTGTCACTTGAACATTTCACCAATCTTATTTTTACTGACATAGGATGGAATGATTGGAAGTCCAAATATCTGTTTGAATGTGTGTGTTTTCTGTAAACACTAGTGTTTAGCTTCCCATCTTCTTTCCTTTTTACGTTGCAATCTAACATTGGAAGTTCCCCTTCCTGACTTTCCAATTCATAAGTGAATTGAATTGCCTCTACTTTCGAGTTGATGTGTTCGAAAAATCTATCTATATCCTGCGTTCTAAGTACAGTGAATGTGTCATCTACCCTCCACCATACTTTCGGGGTGGGGATGAACGTTTCAATCGCTATCTTTTCCCACCTATCCATGAATATATCTGCTACAACCGGGGATATTGGTGATCCCATGGCAACTCCCTCAGTTTGTTTGTATATTTTCCCTTGGAATTTAAATACTGTAGAAGTCAGGCAAAGCTGGACTCCCAGCATTATGTCCTTAAGTGGCACTTTTGTCCTAAGTTCGATTTCGTGGTCAGAAATGAGCTCGTTTCTGGCTGCCTCTTTAGCCATATATATTAGTATTACTTGATATGGAATTACTTACTACCACAGTGCCCAAGTTTTACACATATATTGACTACTGAAAACAGTCTTAAGCATAGATGAAATAACTGTCTAGTATTTTCTAGTTTCCATTCGTTCTCCAAGTCCAGTCAGTTTGTTGATTACTCTCTAAGATTTTAAAGTGGAGATAGCCTTCAACTCGCACACAACTTAATTCGGAGTTCTTGAATCAAGCATTTCGGTGTTTTTATATCTTTATAGGGGATACATTCAACGTATACGAAGTTATTTCACTCCGTCTGTTAAATATAGTTTGAATTGTAAGTAATGTGCAGATAGTTGATAACTTTGAGAAATGTGTGGATATGAAATTAAGTATGAGTTGAATCTACACATGTTTAACAGGTACTTGAAAACTGGTATCTAGAGTTTCTTGGAAATCAGTAATACTTACCCTTACTAGGTTTTGTTGTATGATTATTATTATATTTCATTTCTATTAATAAAGACAGTATTTGTTAAATGTAACACTGAATCATCTTGAAACTAGATTCTTTTTCTATGAACCTTTCACACAATGCATTGTAAATACCAGAATTGGTATTATTTACACTAATGACCAGTAATCAT